AAATGTTAGAGGTAGAAGACGCAGCACTCTACACCATTCTCCACATCACTTCATAACTTAGGGGGGAAACCTTGTGCACAAGGTGAACCTTGAGCTAGACCTTGAAGGCTATTAGGGATTGCAAGAGGCAGACATGAGGAAAGATTGAACTCCAGGCATGGAGACCAGCCTGTGCGGCAGGCATGGAGGCTAGAAATGTAGTATTGAGCTCAGGGAATAGTAAGCTGGCTTATTTGGCTGCAGAATGCACGAGGGGGAGTAATTTGAAATGAGTCTGAAAAGGTAGGCTGGATCACAAACATGCCGGGATTAATTGTTTGGGAGTAGGTGTGGGCAGAGGGCAGAGCAGGTGAGCATCTCCCCACCTGACAAAGATGAGGCAAACAAACATGCATCGAAACTGTGAAGATTCCTTATTTGCAGAGGGGGGTGTGGAACATTGCATGTCATTTCAGATTGTTTTCAGTCTATCGGTTGGTTTTACTGAAATGTTTCCCCTCCTCCCCCCACACCTTTTTTTTTTGTTGTTTGTTTGTTATAAGACATGGCTCCCTGGGAAGAGGATAAGGATGCACTGAGTAATTTAGATGATAGAGGGGGGAAAAAGATAATATCAAAAATTTACTACAATTAAAAAATAAACTACAGGGATTTTAGATCTCCCTGCAGAAGAAATTCTCTGCAAAGTTGATTAACATTGGAGGAAAGGTTGTCACTTCCTCTATGGCCATCACCTCATCTGTAGGATGGAGGCCTTGGACTATATGGTCTGTAAGGACCCTTTCAGTCCCAGATTCTATCTATGGTTCCACCTACAGACTTTCCAGACACACCCCACCTAATGTTCTTAATTGATTCCAGGAAAATAGGATGTCAGGAGAAACAACATTACCAGATGTTATAAAGTGGCCGACTGGGAGAACAATGTTACATTGGGGAAGGGTTATCATTTATTAATGACTTTATTACAAAGTAACAGGGCAGTGGGGTGTATTCCTGTGTCCTTAGCTGTCTGGAAGGACTTGGAAAGCAGAGAGAGAAACAAGCTGACCTGGGGAGTTCTCTGCCAGCTGAAAAAGATCACTGTATTTCTTCCTTCCTTTCCCTGAAACTCCTAAGAGGAAAGTGGGTGATGGAGGTAAAGAGAGCTTTTTTTTTATCAATCCAAGGAGCTCCGTGATTCTGAGTCTTTGTTATGGGATTTATGATGATTAAGACAGAGAGAATTTAGCCTTCTGAAGCCCTGAGCCAAGGGGCTGAATTACCAGGAGAGAGTCTTAGGGGTGAAGGGCTGGCTAGGTCTTTAGGGACAGATTCTCCTTTCTATTTAAATTGAGCTCCCAGGAAGACTAAAGATATCTGGGTCTAGTGTGCCAAGGAGGCATAAGGAAAGACAGATCACTTACTCGAACCAGACCTATGATTTCATTGACTCAGGGAAGAAATCACCTCCACTGCCATGCCCAAAGGGCTATAAAATGGTGCATACCCTTTGACCCAGCAATACCACTGCAGGTCTGTATCCCAAAGAGATCATAAAAAAGGAAAAGGACCCACGTGAACAAAAATATTTATAGCAGCTCCTTTCGTGGTGGCCAAGAATTGGAAACTGAGAAGATGCCCATCAATTGGGGAGTGGCTGAACGAGCTGTGGTGTAGGAATGTAATGGAATACTATTGGGCTATAAGAAATAATGAGCAGGGGCAGCTGGGTGGTGCAGTGGATAGAGCACTGGCCCTGGATTCAGGGGGACCTGAGTTCAAATCCGGCCTCAGACACATAACACTTACTAGCTGTGTGACCCTGAGCAAGTCACTTAACCCCATTGCCCAACCAAAAAAAAAAAAAAAAGAAATGATGAGCAGGTGGATTTCAGGGGGGAAAAACTGGAAAGACTTACATGAACTGATGCTGAGCAAAATGAGCAGAACTAGGAGAACATTGTACTATGTAATAGCCACATTGTACGATGATCAACTATGAAAGTATTTCTTCTCAGCAATACAATGATCTGAGACAATCCCAAAAGAAGGAAAATGCTATACACATCCACAGAAAGAACTGTGGAGACTGAATGAAGATTGAAGCATACTATTTTCTCTCTTTGTTTTTCTTTCTCATGATTTTTCCCTTTTGTTCTGATTCTTCTTTCACAACATGACTATTGTGGAAATGTGTTTAATATGATTGTACATGTATAGCCTATACCAGATTGCTTGCCATCTTGGAGAGGAGGCAGGGGAGGGAGGAAGGAAAAAATTTGTAACTCAAAATCTTATGAAAGTGAATATTGAAAACTATCTTTACATGTAATTGGAAAAAATAAAATACTATGAAGTGCTGGGGGTGAGGGGAAGAGAAAAAAAGAGATTACCTCCACCAATGAGATCAGCACCTGTTCTGCAATATAGTCTTAGAGAGTTGCCCAGGGCACTGAGAGGTTAATGGATTTGCCCAGTATCCTGAAGCCATCGTGTGTCAAAGGTGGAACTGAACCCAGGTCCTTCTGACTCCAAGCTGAGCTCTCTAATTATCATGTCTAGCTGCTTTAATTTAGTTATGAGTTTTTCCAGCTTTAAGAATTCATTCTTGGCAACAGGGACTCTTGCTGATTTGAGGATTGATTCTGAGGTCCCATATCTGTGTTGGATTCAGAATCAGGAGAGACAGGTTCAAATACTGGCTTTGGTGCTCATCTGCTTATGAGTTATATGATTGTGGGCAAGAAACTGCTTCTCTCTAGACCTCAGCTGTTGAATGGAAATAATGATGATGATGATGATGATGATGATGATGATAATGATACTTATGTTTCTTTCTTTTCTTTTCTTTTTTTTTTTTTGGCAAGGCAATCAGGGTTAAGTGACTTGCCCAAAGTCACACAGCTAGTAAGTGTCAAGTATCTGAGACCGGATTTGAACTCAGCTCCTCCTGACTCCAGGGCCAGTGCTCTATCCACTGAGCCAACTAGCTGCCCTGATACCTGTATTTCTTAATGCACATTGTTGTGAGAATCAGTCAAATATTGCCGTATTAAGCACTTACTATGTGCCAGGCCTTGTATTAAGCTCTGGGAATACAAAGACAAAAATTACAATTCCTTCCCTCAAATGAGACACTGTGTAAAGTTGATCATTATTTTTATTGTGATTTTGACTTGTTTCTCCTTTTATTTTGATAATTTAATTCCTCTTCTTTTTGAGCAGATTGGCTGAAAAAGTTTATGATTTTGTTAGTCTTTTCAAAGGAATAGCTTTTAGTTTTCTCTGTCCACTATACAGACGTTTGTTTTTCACTTTATTTCTCCTCTCATTTTCTCGATTTCTTCTTTTATGTTTATTTTGAGTTTATTTCACAAGGGATCATTCACTTTTCAATATTTTTAGTTGGCAAAACACCTTACTATGCATACAAACATCAACTTTAATAATAATAATTCAGGGAGGGGGACTGAAGCAACATGGCATAGTGGAGAAGGCACTGGATTTGGGGTCAGAGGACCTGGGTTCAAATCCTAACTCAGCTATTTTATGATAGAGACAGGGACTAAACTTGTGATATTTTTGTTACAGGAAATTCCTGAAGGAGGGAACTCCCTCTATCGATGTAGATGTGCCCTACCCTGCTACAATTTATACTCTTAGAAAGTTTCCTGGGGCACTGAGGAAGCAAATGATTTGCCCAAGGTCACACAACCAGTATTTATCACAGGGGAAATCTGAACTCAGGTCTTCTTGGCTTCAAGGATAGGTTTCTCCTCACTATGCCACATTACCTCTCTCCATCACAATAGGTGATATGTATTCAGTATTTTGAGGTTTGCAAAAGCCTTCTTACCGCTTTTGTTCCTTAAAACCACCCTGTAAGTTATTACAGGCATTACAGTTACTATAGATATTATTATCATCCTAAGGTCAGTGGATCTGGGTGGCCTTAGGTTAATGAACACTGCTCAGTTTCTTGAGCTGTTTAATGAGGAGACTGGATAAGTAGCTCACTTCCACCGCATCAGCTCTACCAGTATGATCCTAAAGTGCCGGGGGCTGGACTGGAGCCGAGGTTTCTCTGGACTCTAATCCTGGCGCTCTTTCTACATGGCCACTGGTGGGTAGGTCTGATGACTTATTACAGGTCTTTACCAAAACAAGAATTCATTCTTGGTGCTTGGGAGATCCCTTTAGACTCTGGGGTTGCCATCTGTTCTATGTCAGTGGTCTTAACAGTGAGTTAGTCACATGGGATGGGGGGTGGGGAAAGCACTGATTTTGGATTCAGAGATCCTGGTTTCAAATCTGCTACTTACTACCAGTGTAACTTTAGGCAAGGCACTTATTCTCTCTGGGCCTCAGTTTCTCCATGTGTAAAACACAGGCCTTACACTAAAGCTATTTCTGATTCTAAATGTTATGATTCTTTGTTGTTCAGTTGTATCTGACTCTCCGTGAACATATTTGGGGTTTTCATAGCAAAGTTACTGGAATAGTTATTTCCTTCTCCATCTCATTTTACAGATGAAGAAACTGAGGCAAAGAAGGTGAAGTGTCTTGCCCAGGGTCACACAGCTAGTTAGTGTCTGAGGTTGGATTGGAACTCAGGTCTTCCTGACTCTAGGCCTAGCACTCTATCTACTGTTCCACCTAGCTGCCCACCTAGGATTTTATGACTTGATTAAAAAGTCTTAACTTAGGAGAGGAGACCGTAGTCCTCGGAGTTGTTCTGGCTTGTTACCCATCCCCCTCCTTCCCCTCAGCTCTCCTGCTTCCCTCAAGCTTTAAATTGAATATGGTTTTCTGGGCATCCCATACACTTGTCAGCTGACCTAGCATCTAAAGAGGATGTTGATACAGCCTGGGGCTGGCTTTATATAGAGTTAAACAAACAATTTCATGAGAAATTTTTCCTGGGGGAAAAACCTCCCAACAACCCCAACTCCTCCCTCCCTTATCCCCCAATAAAATGAAACTCCATTAAAGAAAAAAATGTGTCTGGTTCTTATTAGGAGCAGATGAAAGGATGAGAGAAATCACGCCTGCCCTGCTGCCTGGAACAGCTCGTGCCTGCCAAGCTCCGCTGGGGGGAAAGGTGATTTTTTTTCCATTTTATTTTTGGTAAAGACTATTTGAGCAATGAAGCCTATTGTGAGACTGCTATCATTCAGAAACCAATGATGAGGTTATCCCCGACTTAGCTCTCCAAAAAAAGGATAGCATATGTAAGAGAGGTAGTGTATGGCTTGTGGTTGTTCAGTCATCTTCAGTCCATTTCTTTGTGACCCCCTTTGGGCTTTTCTTGGCAAAGCTACCGAAGCAGTTTGTATTGTTAGTTGCTTTCCAAACTTGTTTTGACCATACACTGTCATCAGTTTTTGCATTCACCCCCACATGTGAATAATCATTTGTTATACTTATTTATTGTTAGTTATTTTACAAGTTTAAATTATTAACTATTTTTACTTATTTGTTCATTCTTATTGTATTGCTTTACCAATAATTACATGCATTATAAAACTTACATGAAGATAGGAATTAAAAAAAGATGAGCTAAAGAACAAATTATGTTTGATGCAGACAGCAATAGAGAGCCAGTGGAATGTATTGAGTGGAGAAGTGATGTGGTCAGACCTGTTCCTTAAAGAAAATCCTTTTGGCAGCTGTGTGGAGAATAGATGGAGATGGGAAAGACTTGAGGCCAGGAGATCAATTAGGAGGCTATTTTGATAGAACAGGCAAGGGTATGAACTAGGGTGGTGGCTCCCTGAGTGGAGAGAAAGGTCAGATAGTGGAGACAGAAATAGCAAGATTGGACAACTGATTGGCTATGTGGGATGAGGGAGGGTGAAGAGCCCGAAGGAGAGTTGTGCCTTCAATAGAAAAGGGGAAGTTTGGAAGGGTGGGGTGGCTTTTGGCGGGAAAGATAAGGCAATCCAGAGAGTCTCACTGTGTACCACCCAAAATGAAAAGGGAGGAGGAGGAGTTCTTCATTATAGATTGTGGGTGGGGGTCCAGAGCCCAATCTCCCTGAAGCACCTGCTGTAGGCATGAGGTGATCTAGGGAACAAAGGATGAATGTGCTGGAGGTCTGGAATTTTCACTGTGCAGCTGCTACTATGGATGGTGGTAAAATTATGAGAAGACACAGTTGTGAGAAAAGGAAGGGAGAGAGAAGACAGTATGGGGGAGTATTAGGGAATAAGCATAGGTATGGTTGTGTCAGAGATAGATTTCATGATGACTCATATGTAGGATGGAATATAGCCCATCTCCCTCTTCTCCAATTGATTGATCATAATAGTTAAGACAATGCCATGGTTCCCTAGGGGTCAAATCATGACTCCTTTTTCAAAGATCACTAGCGTATAGTAGAAAGCCAACCTCAATGTCAGGAAGACCTGGGTTCAAGCCCTGTCTCTAACATATCATATTGGCCATGGTATCCTGGGCAGGTCACTTAATACCTCAGTACCCCCAGGCAATACTCTAAGACCATTTAAGTTGTAGAGGAGATACTGGTCTTCACTGGTGGAGGAAATCTCCTCACTGGGAGTTCTCTACACCAATGAAATCATAGGACCTGACCAAAAACTGAAGATTCTTAGAGGTAGGATGGTATATTGGGAAGGGTGCAAACCTGCCAATCAGAAGAAATGTGGATTTGAATCCTAACTCTGCAGCTAACTAGCTTGAAGACCTTGGACACTTGGAACAATGAACTTGGAGTTGCAAGACTTGAGTTCAAATCCTTACTCCCCCACTTACTATTTATGTTAACTCTCTGGGACTTAGTTCCCCCATCTGTAAAATAAGAGGATTGAACTAGATGACCAGTAAGGTCTCTCTCTTCCAGCTAGAGGTCTATAATCCTATGACCACTTTTGTGAGCCTGGGTTTCCTCGTCCCCAAAATGAAGGTATCTCACAGGCTTGGTGTGAGGGTAAAATGTAACAGTGTATATAAAGCACTTTGCAGACTTTAAACTTTAAATTAGCAGTGCCAGCTATAATCATTAGATGAATATTACAGCCACTTCATCCCTCTCTAAGACCACAAAGCACGAGAAGGCGCCAATCTGCATTGGTAGCTCCCAGTATTAATGAAATCACAGACCCAGTCCAAATAATATCCCTTGGCATCTTCTGGGCTTTTCTGGCTGGGTAGCTCCAGTCATTAAGGCTGTTGCACAGTCTATATGCTTTGGGTCTGCAATGTGGTAAGTGATCAACTTTCAATGAGAAACCTCTCTGCTCTCTCTTAGAATTGTTTTTGAAGGCCTGTGCCTGGCTAGCAGATTTATTCCCCCACTAAGTGCCAGGAAGAAGAGTTGGGTTCTCACTTTCCTTTCAAAACTTTCAAGGAAGGCAACTGCCCAGCAATAAGCCTTGGAGAGCATCGGTCCATCATGGCCAAGGTCTTGGCCAGCCTCTCCCTTCGCTGGCTCGATGGTGTCTGTATGAAGCCCCACATAGGGATGAAAATGGCCTTCATCTTGGGCTACCACACTCCTCGAGGCGGTACCTTTAGGGATGCTATAGGTGCAACAAGGGTGAAACAACCAGGGTTTTGCCGCAGGGCACTGAAAAACAATTTTTAAATAGAATTTTTCCAATTATATGTAAAGATAATTTTTAACATTCATTTTTTAAAAATTTAAAAAATTTTCTCCTCCCCTCCCTCTTCTCCCCCCTCCCTAAAATGATATGCAATTTTATATAGATTACATATGTGTAATTGTACAAAACATATTTCCATATTAGGCACTAAAATTTTCAAGAGTATCGATAGGCTCCCTGGCTGGCAATTGCCTTTGGTTTCTCATTTTCTGAGACTCTCAGAATCCTAGGATTTCAGAGCTGGGAGGGACTTGACAATCCCCTAGGCCAACTCCCTCATTTTACAGAAGAGGAGGCTGAGGCCCAGAGAGCTTAAGTAACTCACCCAAAGCCACACAGGTAGAGACTGTGGTAGAGTCAGGTTTCAAATACACTTCTTCTAACTCCAACCCCAATGCTCTTTCTTCTACAACACTGCTTCTTATCCTAAGGGTCTGTGGGTAGATTTCAAGGGGGCTCTTGAACTTAGATGAGGAAAAAATGACATTTTTGTTTGCACAGACTTCTACCTGAAATGTATTATTTCTTTCAATTATTTAAAAGTATAATTCTGAACAGATTGTACATTTTCTTCTTTCATGATTTATTTCTTCTGCTTAATGATTAAATTACATTTTCTGTGGGTAAAGGAACGGTTTACATAGATCTTGAATTATAAAATAAATTTCCTTCTCAGTGAAAAAAAAAAGTATAATTCTGAGAAGGGGTCCATAGGCTTCCCCAGACTGCCAGAGGAGGTCCATGGCACAAAAATGGTGAAGAAGCCCTGGTCTACCCTCTGCTGTCTGTTTTATGAAACCCTTTCAAGTAAATGGAGCTTAAATTCTGGCTTCCAAGCCAAAATGCCATTAAGGACGCTGTTCTGTGCAAAATGCATGCAAGATTAGGGTGCTTTTAGGGGCACTGTGGCTGCAATAAGGGTGAAGCAATCAGGGCTTTGCTACAGGGTGCTGAAAACTTAAAAGGTACTGATGAGTGTTCAGAAGCACAAAAATAGCTGAGTCAGTGAGTCTACAAACACTTATTAAATGCTTGCTGTATGCCAGACACTTTGTTAAGCACCAGGAACACAAAGAAAGGTGAAAACATGGGACTAGGAAGAACAACGGCAGCAGTCAGTCTTCTCAGAGTCTCTGTCCAAGGGAGCAGAATCTCTGGGATGTCTTTCTCCCTTCTCTCCCCCGAAATGAACTCCAAATAAAAAGCTAATTGTGCTACTTGTCTCCAGTGCCAAAATTGCTAGTTATGGCTCTCTGTGTTAGTTGAGAATTTGAATTGTGGGAGCAATCTAACCCAGTCTCTCATTGTTTGGTATGCAGTACGTGTTCTATAAATGTAGAATTGAGTTGCTTTTCTCAAGGGGTGAGAGTAGTCTGTCCTGATAGAAATGTCCATCCTCATTGGTGGTTCTATCCTCTGCCCCTCTGCTCCATTCTAATTCTCTGCACATTCCAAAACAAATGGTCCATAGATCACAGATCTTGAGCTAGCAGAAATCTAGTCCAACTCTCATTTTACAGATGAGAAAACTGAGGCCCAGGAAGGTTGTGATGTGCCCAAGGAGACGGCTAGGTAACAGCAGATAAAGTGTTGGACTGGGAGGCAGGAAGACCCAAGTTCAAATCCTACCTCAGACAACTTACTAGCTATGTAACCCCGGGCAAGTCACCTAACCTCTCAGAGCCTCAGTTTCCTCATCTGTGAAATGGAGATAATAATAGCCCCTATTTCCTAGGTTTGTCATGAAGATCAAATCAGAGAAGTAAAGTGTTTTGCAAACCTTAAAGCACTATAGAAATGCTAGTTATCATTATAAACACCAGGGAAAGGTCCTCAGAATTGTTGTGCTTTTTCCAATGTACCAATGTTTGCAATGCTGCCCATCCCACCCATTTTACAGAGGAGATAACTGAGGCCCAGAGTGCCTAAAATCTCACAAGTACTTAGAGACAGAGCCAAGATTTGAACTCAGATTCTCTGACTATAGGCTATGATCATCTATTCTTATTCTTATAATTAGAGCTTCACACCAAGGTTCTAAATTCTCCTCCAGTGATAACAACCTGAAAGAGGGAATTGTTCAACACTGGCCCAGATTCCCCTGGGACTGGACGTAATTATTATTGTTATGAAGACAGTAATTCTTATTTTTATAGGACTCAGATAACTAAGTGCTTTCTTCTCAATAACCCTGGGAACTGGGTAATGCAGTGTTATCATCCCCTTTTACTCAGAAAGAGTGAGTTACTCTCCAGAGATCACACAGTTCCCAGATGGCAGTCATGATTCAAATTCAGGTCTTCAGACTCCAAGCTTGGCATTATAACCTGCCTCCTCCTCTCCCGTCTCCCTGGGTTGGTGCTCTCAACAACATCACTTCTATTGGCAGAGAGAATGACGGTGATGTGCGTCTGATTGCTTTCAATCTCCCTTCTCCTGCCCAAAACCCTAGAACTGCCCAAGGCCACAGCAAACC